GTACAGGCAAGTCTAAAACTCAGAGATCTGCCTATCTCTGTTTCCTGTGTGCTGAAATTAAAGGCATGCACCACTATGACAAGCCTGCTTTTTATTTTTTTAATTAAAAACTTAATGTGTGCACTCATGGGTGTGCTCATGTGCACTCATGCAAACTCATGCCCATGAGTGTGTGCCATTGGGGCCAGATGTCTACATCAGTTGTCTTCCTGTTGTACAATATTAGTTAAAGATGTGTTCCATTTGTTTATGCTGAGAAAATTTTGATTAATGGTACAAAGATATGTTGCATTCTTTTTTGTTTTGTTTTGTTTTTGAGGAAATTTGTAATGCCTTAGATACATGATGTTAACACTTTGTGTTTTTTTTCTTCTATTGTTCTGATATAACATGTATGTTATACTATGTCTTATTTGTGTTTCTCACTCTGTGTACTTTGGTAGCAGTTTTATAGTAGAAAGAATATATAGTTGGAAAATCATGTGTTTTAAATACAAGTAGCAACATTAGCCATAAATCTTGATCACCATATGAAGTATTTTATGAAAATGAGACTTTCTGGAACAGCAGTTTCTCTTAGCAAGGTTTGACTTGCCTTTCCTTGTCTTCAGTATCTCAAGTTGTTTCCTAGAACTAAGGCAGACTATGAGTTCATTGAGAAAGATCAAACACCATAGTGTGGTACCAAAGAATGACTTTTTTGCAAGTTAGTTTAGTCAACTTTCCTTTGGTTCCTGAAGGATGAGCAACTCTTGAGCATAGGGTAGGAATGCATACAGAGAGGTGACGTTCAGGCTTAGCCCCATGAAGGTACAAAAACAAACAAACAAAACAAAATAAAAAGCTGTCAATATGATGCTTAGGATGAAAAGGTCAAGCAGAGCAGAGAGTTTTAAAGTCATCTCCTAAACACACAAAAGCATTTCGTGGGATGAGCAAAGGATAGACCTCAGATGCTCTACACAGGAGGCAATAGGAAGAGCTTGCTAAGGGAAGAAGCAGGCTAAGTCATTGTCCATGGCACTTGTAGAAAGTCTACTAGAACCAGGAGTGTTTCAGGGTCTAGGGAGATGGAAGAGAAAACTGTTACCAAGCTGTGGGTCAGATACTGGGAATTTCTAGAACATGTTCATCGGCAGCAGAGTGAGAGACAGATTTGGCAGGACTACAGCAGGGACAGATATTAGTGTTGACTTGTGGGCTATCCATTGAACAGCCATTGCAAACTATAGTTTGGGGGTCCAACCTGATAAATGACTCCCTTTTATGTGGTGCTTGAACTAAGAACAGTTTTTATGCTTTTTAAGTGATTGAAAAATCAGCTCGTATAATATTTTGGCAATTAGAACATATTTAAAGATCGCTCTCTAGATATGAAAACGTACAAGGATACAGCTGAGCTCTGCATTGATTCTCTATTGTCTGTGGCTGCTTTACAGTACAGTTTCAGCACTGAGTAGCTGTAGCAGAGAACCCACAGCCTAGAAAACAGCAACAGAAGGAGCTATGCCTTTAACAAAAGCTGGCCAGACTCTGGCGGAAGAGGCTGATGATCACTCATCAGGACCATCGAGTTATGGACATCATAATCATGCTTGTTAGAACAGTGGGGCTGGACTGAGCTGCTGAGATGTGGGAACTGACAACATTAGCACTACTTACCATCAGGGAGAAGGAACAAGAAATTTGAGAGCCACTATTGTTCTGAACATGGTGCTGACCCGTGCTAAGTAGGGGCTTGTTCTGACAAGCTCTCCTCAGAAGCATCTCCCTCCTTACGTAATCACCCACAGCCTGCCAGCAGGCTTGCTTGCTGTTCTGTCTCTCCCTCTCCCTCACATTTTGCTGTCACTGCCTTTCCTTTTTTTAGTTCTGTCCTAAAAATGACATACTAAGAAATGATGTTGATAACACAATGTTGGGTCTATTACTTGACTTCTAACAATTTAAGGCCAGTCAAATACATCTGTACCTTAATTCCTATATTTATTCAATTCTCACTAATTATACATTTCCCCAAATGAAAAGAAAAAAAAACCAGAAAGCATTTGACAATTTGAAATTAATGAAGGAATTAGAATTCCAAAAGTCTTCCTGAGGGTGAATTGAGATGAATTAAGCTATCTTTTGGAGTGGCAAAGAAGTGTTTGGACATGGTATCTGATACAGGACATGGTACAGGAGCATCCACTGATGTGAGAAATAGATTTATTCCTCCATTTTATTGGTGCTTTTAGAACACTTTCTAACCATAACTACTTTGGAGCAGTTTAGTACTGAATGCCTTGCTGAGAAAAAAAAAGGTAGCTAAGAAATAATAACTTATACCTTAATAAAGGGAAAAAAAGAAGCCAAGTTAATAGACATGGAAACAATGCTATAGATTGGGGAAGGAAAATACAAGGTTTCAGACGGCAAATATCTTGGCAATGTGGGTATCAATATTACTATCAATAATTAAAATAAGTATGATAAATGCTACTTTTTTGTATACTTTTTTTTCACATGGGCATTCAATATAATAAAATTACAACACTGTTACCTCCCCAGAGCTCATCAGGTTAGGAGTGGATGTAGTAATTCTTGTTTTTCATACAGAGACAACTTGAGAGAGTAGTACATCGACCTGGATAAAGAAGCTGGTGGCAGCATGCAGAAGTACACTCTTATAATTGTTTGTCTAAATTGTCTTAACTGCATTCTCTCTGACTTTGTTTCATCATATCCCTCTTGCCTCCTAACACCAAAGAGAGCATGCCACTCAGATATTGAAGGGATCAAGAAAGGAAGCCAGAGTGGTACCTTGGCACAGTAGTGAAATGAAGTACACACACACACAAAGACACACACACAGACACACACAGACACACACACAGACAGACATACACATCATCCCCCGACACACACACACACCAGACCTGATCTTCTTCAGTCAGTTATAAATTCTCTATAAGTTCTCTTTATCATTTTTTATTTCTCTCTCTTCTCCATTTCATTGAAAAGCCTAATTTATTATTTAAGGCACCTATCATAAAACCCAAACATGCATGGATCCAAATGAAAGTTTTGTTCATTTCTTATTCTATTTCTGCTAATAATTCAGCACCGCCTATGTTTTTATTATTCATATACCATATAATTACCTTAAAATTAGAATGCAAAATACCTCTTATTCATATTCATTTTCACTTTTTTTATTAAATGGATAATTGACCACTTTCTTGTTAATACAAGCAGATTTGCACTCATCAACTTGTGATTGCTTTGCTTGGATTTCTCTCTGGATTAAAGAAGTCACTGTCAAACAAATACAACTTATACTACACATCCCAGCATAGTAACCATGTCGTTTTTGCCATTACATCCTGATTTGTGTACACATAAATTTATATTCTTCATCTGGCATGCACGACATTTTTTGAAAAACCTCCCTTCCCCGTATCAACCCCAAAGTCTTGCTTACGTCTGCTATAGGCATCTCCCGTCTTCTGCAACAGATGAATAGCAAGCATTCAGAGATAAATGGGCAGGAATAAAGCTGAAGCGCTTCTTGGGCACAGTACACATAGAAAAAAATAAGCACCTGATGAAAAAGTATTTTTATATTATAGTAATTACCATCCTAGGAACAGGTGTTTGGAACCCTGCTCAAGGGAGAACTGACGATCACAGAGGTCAGAGAGGGAACACTGAAGTTTCCATGGTTACCATCCCATGGGAAAACCATAACAAGAAGGGCGGGAAACAACTAGGGTCCCTTGGGCCTAGACATTATACCTTATAACTGGCAGCTGGGACAGGCAGGATCCCGTGAAGATGGTGACACAAATATTCCCTATTCCATGAACCAGGCACAAAGACGCAATGATAGTGCTACAAAATCAATGTGACATTTCCTGGTGGTCCTACATACCAAGCAATGAGTCCTCTTTACTGCTATAAATAAAAAGTATTTATTGCAAAGTACTTTTCACGTTATGAGAAGCTTCCTGCTCTCACTGGGGTGCTACAGACTGGATGGGTGTCCTGTGCCTTATTGATGGGTGGCAAATCTTAGCATTTGAATGGTTTGAGCCTGAGTCAGAGGTGGTAATAAAAAGGCTGGAAGTACAATTCTCTTTAATGGGATTTGGCACCCAGAACTTCCCCACCAGGTCATGACATTCTCTCCATCTTTCACGTATTAGATGAGTAGAATTTTAGAAAGATAGAAGCCCATTCCATTCAACTTATAGACATGAGTAATAGCTAATTAAAAAAATAGCAGCCAAATCCTTACCAAGCAGTGACTTTTTTTTTTTTTTTGTATTTGAATTCTCTTACCAACTGGAATATATAATCTGAATGACTGGCAGTTGAATTAATCAAACAAAAGTCTGGTTTACCTTCAGGTGTTAAGACTGAGCTTTGAGGGAAAGATGAAATCACACAAAAAGGGCTCCCAAAACATGACAAAAGCTTATAGGTAAATATTAGCTCAAACACTAGGGTTTTTAGGAGGACTTCCATAATCCCGTCTGTGCACCCTCAAGGTTAGGCTTGGAACTGGATCATGAAATTGGAAGGCAAGTCGAATTAGATCTGCAGCGTGTTATGCAGTTTAAGCTTTACCACATTTCATAAGCCATTGAAAATTCTACTGTCTAGAAACAAGGTTTAAATGGATAGCTCTACAGCACCTACTCTGTAGCTTGTAAGCTGCTTGTGGGACATAGGACAGCTAACTAGTCCAGAAGCCCCATGTATAAGCCAAGCACTCTTGTTATTATTTTACATATAGAACTATTGTTTGTTTAGTTCCTCTAATATAGGGTCCATTCCAATCATCTTTGTGCCATAAATAAAGAAAAGAAACAAATTACTTGCCCAAGGTCAGGCAGTCAGAACCAGGGTTTGTCTCAGCAGCACACGGCCATCTGAAAGCCCGGTGTTGCTAACTTGTCTAGAGTGTACCTGAGAAAGTACGGCCGTGTAATCCATCTGTTTACTCCCTTCCTCAGGCCGCCTGTGGTGAGGGCCAGGAAGAGAACTCGTGTGGAGCCCTGGGTTATTGGCCTCATCTCTTTTTTATCCCTGATTGTCCTGGCTGTGTGTATTGGGCTCACCGTTCACTATGTCAGATACAGTAAGTATGAAATGCCATGGTATCATGTGACCTACTCCAGTTATTTCCTCGTGGAATTTCCTGTTTTGGCTTGCCTCGGGGTTGTTTCTTCATTGCTATGATTTATTTGCATAAGAACTCTTTGACTGCTTTGTTTTTCATTTTAATCTCCACAAACCAAGGAGGCTTCATCCTTCTATCTTTAAGGGAACAGCGCTTCCTACTAAGAATAAAATGCTACTTTCCTTAATAACTGGGAAGTGTATGAAGGGGCCTTAAGCAGGGGAAGACCACAGATTAGCTAGAATATGATGTCTTGAGTTAGCTGAGGTCACAGGACAGTAACCTTGATTTAAAAGAAAAAATCTAGTTCATCAAAATCTTAATATTTCAATAAATGAATTAGACACTGAACTATGTTGTAAAGCTAAACTCTGTTGTGCACTCAGTAAGTTGGAAAGATGTTCACAATGATGTGTTATTAAATAAGTGCCTATGTTAACTTAAAATCTTATTTCAGAATGTAATGATGACAGAGGACACGATATGCTGAGCTTAATTATGAGGGGCTTCACTTTGTGGTAACCAGGTCTCTCACTGCCAGATGAACTGCTAGTTGCTGTTATGAAGAAGGTACCCAGGGGACTACAGAGCTATTCTTCCAGGATGTAAGAACCCTTCTGAAGTTTCCCTGTACTGTGCCTTGCGTTTTAATTAGTTGACTCAACTATGACCTATTAGCTTAATATTTCCCTGAGTGACTAGATTATATGTTGATATTGAAGGCTTTGAAACTTTAGAAGCTAATCACTTGATTCTAATTTAATTGGGAATCTGAGGCAGGTGTTTCGCCTACAGAAAAAGAGCTATCTGTAATCTGTTTATCTTTATGCGCTATCTACAAAGTACAATCTCAATTTCCAGACCACAGTGGATACATCTCTTTTGGGTGGTTAAAAAAATGCTTAAAACAGATTTTCTTTGAGGTGCTGTTTATACACATGTAGGTCTTTAAAGCTGGGGTATCTTTATTTTGGTAATAGAAATTTCTCTGGAACATTTTTAATACAAAAGAGTTGCTAAAATAACATTGCAACACAGATCTGTTATGAATAGACTGAGTTTCATTATGTTGTAAGTATTGTTATTTCTCTATGCATTGTAAGTTTATAACTTACTCAGGTTTATATTTCAAAAAGTTTGAATATTCCTGGCACATATTAAGTCCCTTATAAATGTTTATTTAATAGTGAGTGACAAAAACCAATGATGGTTTTAGGATTATCTGGTTTCATAAGAAACCCCTTGCAATGTTAGAGACTTGGTCACTTTTGTGAGAGAAAAGCACTTCCTCCTCCATCCCTTTTGCCTCTTCCTAAACCAAGTTGTGTAAGGTGATGGATCTTACTCACATGTGTACACTGAAAACCAGGTCATGTTTTTCAGTAACTGGTTCCTGCGTCATATTGTGTGGATGATCAGCTCAGAAACTGTAACACAGGACTTCCCACACACCACACCTGAATAAATAGTAATTCTTGTATGTTACTGTTTTGTATGTGATGTGTGATTTACCATCTGGGGGTGGAAACTAACAACGGAGTAACTAAAACAATGAGCATTCTGTAATTCTCATGCCAAACCAAATAGTTGTGTTACAGAGTAAGGACATGTGACTAGGTTTGGAAAAACATCATTTTGATCCTCACTTTATGAAACCAGGACACACACACGTATAACCCCCCTCCCAAACATATCATACTGGCTAACAAGGTAAAATAAAATGCAGGATAGAATAGCAATAGTTTATAAAGATAATTATGCAACTTTTCAGTATTTCAGTAGTTTGAAAACTTTTCTTTCAAGCATGTATATTTCAGGGACTTGCCTGTTATTCCTGACATTTTGGCCATTCAAGGTAAGGTTTGTATAGAAGGAGAAGTAACAAAAACACTCCCTCTCTCTTGTCCCTCACTTAAGTTGAGATTACTCAGAAATTCCTGAACTTTTATTGTCTCCAGCTTATGCTTTCTCTTCATACTTCATTTGCTGCTTGGGCCTGTTAAAGTGACCATCAATTTCTTTTTCTGTCCTGCCAAATCCTCTAGATTTGGCCAAGGTATTAAGTTTGCCAGGGTTTTTTGAATTAATGTTATATTAAAATTTCATAATTTTTGAAACCTGCAAGAAAGCTCATTACACAAAAGTGCTGGCCATGTATGACTGACCATTTGATTTTGATCCTTGGAAGCCATGTAAAGGCATAAGGAAAGAGTTGACTCCACAAGTTTTCCTCTGACCTTCAGATGCTTCCCATGACACTTATGCCACACACACATGTGACCTGCACACATAGAATTTTTTGTTTTATTTTTCAAGATAGGGTTTCTTTGTGTTTCGGTCCTGGCTGCCCTTGAACTTACTTTTAGACCAGGCTGGCCTTGAATTCACAAAGATCCACCTGCCTCTGCCTTCCAAGTGCTGGGATTAAAGGCGTGCACCACCACTGCCCCTGGGTATTTGTTTTGTTTTGCTTTTTTCATTCTAGGACATTAAAAGGAGTCTGTGCTTAGTTAGGTTTTGTCTTGAAATTTTGTCATGTATTTTTTGGCTTTGTCACATTATTTTTGTCAAGTTATTTACATTGCTGAGACTGGAAATCCCTAAACAAAGATAGCACAGCTTTCTAAAAGGGTTATTGTAAGGCAAATGAGTTGTAGGAATAGCCTGAGTGCCTACACCTGAGATGCCAGTGCTTGGTGTTAATTCCCTTTTCTGCTGGGGTTTAAGGGAAGAATGAAAAGAAAGAAAGGAAGAGGAAAGAACTTTGCTGTCTGACAATGGTTTTGTACCCTGTAAAGATTTGTCACTTGTACTGGTCTAATAAAATGCTGATTGGCTAGTAGTCAGGCAGTAATATAGCTGGGATGACCAGAATAGGAGAATTCTGGGAAGAGGAAAGACTCAGTCTGCAGTCATCACCCAGACAGAAAAAGCAAGATGAGAATGCCTTACTGATAAAAGTTACCAAGCCACATGGCTAACACAAACAAGAATTATGGATTAATTTAAGAGGAAAGAATTAGTTAACAAGAAGCCTCAGCTAATAGGCCAACCAGTTTTAAATTAATGTAGGCCTCTATATGTTTCTTTGGGATTGAATGGCTGTGGGATCTGGTGGGACAGAAACCTCTGTCAACAGAGCCTGAGTCTGGGTGAGGCACAGTCCATTTTCTTACAGTAACCATTTTCAATGGTCTTAGGCTACTGTTATGGTTGTAATGCTTGGTACAACATCTCTCACAGAAATGTGGTAGGCATTAATATGCATGAAAGGTAGACACAAGTCTCCAACTTATTGATGTGTAGAAGAAATCTGTACTACATTGACTCTGCAGGTTGTATGAATTGGCAGTAGAGATTGGACACCAGTGGCTAAGGAACAGACAAGAGATTCCCCTAAACCTAGAGGTAGAAAACGAGTTCTCTGACAGAGGAGTCCAGTGAACCTATATAGTGTCTATGGAAGGTTACACCAGGTGGGAATTATAGCTCCCTAAATTTCTGTTTTCTGGAGTTGAGTAGTGGTGGCACACGCCTTTAATCCCAGCACGTGGAAGACTGAGGCAGGCGGATCTCTGTGAGTTCAAGACCAGCCTGGTCTACAAGAGCTAGTTTCCAGGACAGGATCCAAGCTACAGAGAAACTCTGTTTCAAAAAAAACTTTAAAAAAAATTCTCCCTACCCTCATTTCCATTTCCAGTAAAAATACATTTTTTCAAACTAGAGTCCAGAATTGATGAGTAGTTAATGCATGGGGGGGTCTACTTCTTTAATATAAAATAATTCAACCATTGGTAGCTTCTAAACACAACCTGATGTGCTCATTCGGCTGGCATGACTGCATATCCTTTGGGCTAACTAGGGAATGGATAACAAGTGAGCAATTAGCTCACCGTTCCCATGCGGTATTCGCACGGCACTCCAGAGCACCAGGCATTTCTCACAAGTTTTACAGTCTATGTAATACAGTGTGATAAGTATATCCCTTTATTCTGAGATCACCCGGGAGCCTGGAACAGGATGATGGAGCTGATGACCATCAGCATTCCTCCTTGTCTTAGTGTTTTAAGTAAGCACCAAGTGGAGTCATAATCACGCTTTACATATCTGATAAAGATTATGATGGGTTTTACTTCTTCCCTTGTAGATCAAAGGAGGACCTACAATTACTACAGCACATTGCCATTCACAAGTGATAAGCTTTATGCTGAGTTTGGAAAAGAGGCTTCTAAAAATTTCACAGAAATGAGCCAGAGAATTGAAACTATGGTAAGTGACATCTTCTCCATGCTTATGACACTATGCTTCACTTGTAGACATCAAATACATCCATTTGGTGTATATAAGACATTAGTATCCATCCGGGGGAGGACTTAATAGTTATGAAAACAGAAAGCCAGCAGCACAGAACAAAAGAACAAAGGCTTGAGTGATGAATTCCCATCACTATATTACCTAGACAACAATCTGGAAGTTTCTTGGCTAGTGAGATAATTTACATATGATGTGATGGAAAGAGAATTGAAGAGAAACTCCTATCAGCTGATGTCAGTCAGTGCCATGTCAATGTGTGGCAGATCACCTTTCGCTCCAGACAAACATCCTTGTATGTTAATTTAGGTATTAGGTTAATGTAATTTGCACACATGTCTTTTAGTTTTAATATTCTGAATAGGGACAGAATGGAAATAACTTGCATTGGCCTGTTTTTGTTGCTACCATGAAATACTTCAATAGTCTATTTTCTAGTGAATGGAGGTTTATTTTGGTTCCTGGGTTGAAAAGTGCTGGGTTAAGGGTTGCATCTGATGATGGCCTTTCCTTCTTAGCAGATTCGGCAAGGGGCTTTACCACATCACTAGACAAAAGACAGAGAGCACTTGAGTACTGAGTCTCTTCTGCTCTCTCTTCTTCAGAGCCACCAGGATTCAGTCATGGGCTCTGCCCTAATAACCTATCTAGTCTGACTCACCTCCTGAATGCCCCACCTTTAAGTACTATGGTTTTTCACTCTCTTACTACATTACAATGGGGATTAAATTGCAGTTGCGTGAAGCCCTGGGAGGCGTTCCAACCATGTCTAAACCTTAGACCAACTGACACCCTTTCACAGAAACTGCGCAGTCTCTGAGATCCTGGTGACCTGTGTACTTGAGAGTGAGACATGTGTTCCATAATATTAACACACATGTAAAGAAAGAAAGGGAACGGAGCTCAGAAAGTCAACATGCTACTATATCCCTTGGGTTTGTTTGTCTGTTTGCTTGTTTTTGCCATTTGTCAAAATAAACTTTCTAAGATCCAAATTGATTTCAATTTAAAGTAATATAGATATTCGGTAGCTTCCAAATCAATAATTTCGAAATTACTTGATAAAAATAAACCCTTAAGTAAAAACTTCCAAATGAATCACCAATACAAGGACATATCCATATGATGGTCACAGTAACATCAGTGGAGGACAGATCCAGGAATCAAAGAAATAGAAGAATAGAAGAAAAAAGCTAACTCTTTCTGCAATTCACCCATCTGCTCACTCTGTCCTGAGACGACTTTCACACTGAAAACAAGAAGGAACTGAAAGCTTTACTTGCTCAAGTCCTGAATTTTAAACTTCAAATTCATTTGAACTACTACAGCAAGAAATAGTTTCACAAAAATACTATCATCTTACTTGAGAAACTTTGTAGCTGTGTTTTTTTCAGAACTCCAGTCCATGGGACTTTCTCAGAGCGTTTCCAGTGTTACCATCTCATACAACACTGACACACATTCATTCCTACAACCCGCTCTCACTTAGGGAGACTATTCCCTTCCTTCTCCAAAACCACCAGTCCGGACAATTTCTTTCTCCTTTAAGTTGTTTCACTAAGGTATTTTGTCACAGTGATAGAAATGTGAAAAACTAAGATAAATGTTCCATTGTCCTTGTCTATCTGCTGTAAAAGTTCTTAACTCAGAAAGTGGAGGGCGAGCTGTTTCAAGGAAACAGCAGGCTCACTGTCTTTGATGTCCTTCTGAGCAGAAGGTATAGGTCTGCTCTGGCCTCCATGTGGCTGTCATTCTGAATGCAGAGCTCAGCTCCCAACACTGGGTAGGATGCCAGAGAGGATTCTTCAGGTTCAGTACATTATGAATGGTCTGTGTTTTGTTCGCTCACTTGCTTTGTCTTGTATTTTAATTTGCTCCAAAGCATTGCATTAACATGAAGAATTTGAAAAAAAATGCTTTTGTTGATGAGTTTCAAATGTCTTTTAACAGGTGAAAAATGCATTTTATAGATCTCCACTGAGGGGACAACTTGTCAAGGCCCACATTATCAAGTTCACGTATGTAGACCTAAGATGTTATTCTGGATTTAACTTGATGTGGAAAGGATTTTTTAATGCTAAAAATTTTAACTTGGTCAGTAATAAATATATTTTAAAATACTAATGATTCGATGTGGTTCAATTTAACAAGCATTTATTCACCTGCTCTATGAAATCCATAGACTAAAGTTTACTTCAGTTTGTAATTTGAAAATGAATATGTGCAAGATGCCTGCTGAGGACAGGTATAATCATTGGTGCCAATGATTGTGTGTGTGTGTGTGTGTGTGTGTGTGTGTGAACTAATCATCAGAATTGGGAACTGAGTAGCGGAGCCAGCAATACCCTGGCAAATAAGATCTTTGTCTTCATGTCTTCTATTACCCACCCCCTACCCTAGTTAATTTAGCCTGTTTTCTTCTGTTCTACATTTTTATGCTCCAAACATTTGCCTAAGGGGATTTTGAAACTCTTACCAATTATTGCTAAATAGCAAGTTCGGAACATAATTTCCTACTGTTGTTCTTTTGTGTTGGAGACAAGGTCTTGTGTTGTAGTCCAGGTTTGTTTTGAACTCCAATCTTTTTGCCTTAGTCTTCAGATTATAGGTGTGTAATTACCTGGCAAAACACAACACTTGAAGTAAAATGCTACCATGGATCTTAAATAATGTATTCTAACACATATTATTCATATTCTTCAAAAACGGGGTGAAAATTGTTTACAGTATTATTTAAATGATACCACTCTGAATTAATTCCCAGTCTGTGGATTAGCTGATATCTCTGAGGCATTACTTTGACGACTTTATCCTTAAAAATTGTATACCTGAGATAGTGTGTTTTGGCCCTCTACTTCATAAATTTTCATTCTCGTAAGGGGCACATCATCCACATGGCGTCTTATGCTTCTTGGGATCTGTTTCTATGTCCAGTCTGAGTGGTTTTCCTGATTTCTGTAACAATTTGCCTGTTCCTTCCCACTTGGCAAAAGGCTGCATGGTGAATTCCCTAACTCAAGAAAAATTAATCACACCACTGAGAAACCTGAGGTGCCATACAAGCCTCTTTCACCTGGGCCTCTTAGTTCATAAAATAACTAAGCACCACCGGTTTAACTCTCTCGTCCTTTCCAGCTTGCCAGATTCATCTTAATGATCCTCCTGTTGCTTGTTCTTTCTTCCTTTGGGGGCTGTAACATGAAGAAGCACAAGTTTAGGGGAAGCATGAACACTTAGAGAGCCAATGAGTTTAGACACTAGAAGAACACAGGAGCAGAGAAGGTGGATCTGATTGATGGAAGGACAGGAAGCTGAGCTCAATGTTTAACTTTTAAGAAAACAAAGTGTTCTATAAAAAAAAAGAAAACCAAAGAACCATTCATAATAATTTCACTCACAAACTTGCTCCTGCCCTCAATTCTTTCTTTTCTTCCCCCCTCTCTCTTTCCCTTCTTTCTTTCTTTCTTTCTTTATTTTTGAACAACAGTAAAGAATATGATGGAGTGTCGGCTCACATGCTGCTGATTTTTCGAATTCGCTCTACTGAGGATCCTGAAACTGTGCACCAAATAGTTGAACACGTTCTGCATGAAAAGCTGAAATATGCTACAGGACCCCCCAACGTTGATCCTGAATCGGTTGAAATTAAAAGTAGGTTGGTGTGCTGTGCTTATTTCTCTTACATAACATAATTTTAAAATAGCTTTAAACATTCAGTTAAAAGTTTTTCCTCCCAAGAAGTGTCTTTATTGTGCCTTGTATGTTGGATTCAGAACCTAATTATACATGGGAAAAGTGGCATTGGGTATTCTTCTGCTATTGTTGCTTCCATAGCATGTTCTGAGAGTATGATGCAGGGAAAGTGTTAATATGTTTTCTCATAGCTACGATCATTTCCATTGAACAACTGTAATTCACATATATTCATTTTTGCATGTTTTACAACTGTAATTGGAGAGAATGAAGTAGACGTTTTTGTTTGTTTATATTTTCTGAGACTACAAATGACTATGCAATAATATTTTTTAGTTCATGTAAGGACCGTTGCCCTCTTGGTTCATGACTCCATATCCATGGAGTTAGAAAAGCACATTATTTTTGCAAAACCAAAAATATTAAAAATTATTGTTATTGAGTATACACATTTTCTTGTTGTTATTTCTGCAAACAACAGTTATCTACCTCAAATTTATATTATCAGGTGCTATAGGTAATCTAGAGATATTTAAAGTGTTGAGGAAGATGTATATGTGTTACATGCAAACACTGAACCATTTCCGAGCGTGGATGGTGTTTTGACATCTTTGGGAATCCTTACACTAAACCTCTATAGATGCAGAAGGACAGTGCATTTCATTATTGTTGCAACACTGTGAGAATGGTACACAAACCTAAGCTGACTATTTCTAATTCCCTTCTTAATATAACACATCTTTTCAAAGCTTTCTGTCTTTGGCTCATTGATAAGAAAGGAAAGACTGGGTAGAAAAGGGTCTATAAATTTCCCTATCTTTCTTTCAGTATGATTATTTTCAGCTAAAACAATGAGCTAATAGACACAAATAATTGAGCCACAAAATATGATAGGGTGTCATGTACATTTGTGCTTACTAGAATGCCATTGCTTTCTTCCTGGGTTCTACAAATTTCTTGTTCAGACATAAACATGCCCTTCTTTGCCGCCACTTCTCCCTCCATTTTTGGCGCTGAGTTGAACACATTTGTCTGCTTGTCTTGCTATGTTGCCACGTGTTGTGTGTTCACCAGGATTCTGATTTCGCAGAGCATCACGACTGATACTTGCAAGTGGCATTGTGAGACATCACAGACACACAAATTCCATACACTTTCTCCGTTCATACTGTGTTTGAATAGCACACTGGGCTTCCCTTTCAAAGCACACGTCACAAGACAAAATAACTAAGGATTTCAGGGTAGTAACAGAATGACATGAAAGCAAAGCACAAAGCTAATCTTGGGATGGGAACAGATAAAACCTGCACTTTTAGAAAGGAGTTGGGGTAGAGAATAGATGATATGAAACAGATTATTAAAGTAGCTGAATTGCAACTAAGATTCAATAATCCATCTTCCCTATGTCTTCCATTTCCCCATGATGGCATGATGGAGAAGGAAAAAAGGATTATACTGGGGCTGGAGAGGTGGCTCAGAGGTTAAGAGCATTGACTGCTCTTCCAGAGGACCCCAGGTTTAATTCCCAGTACCCACATGGCAGCTCACAACTGCCTGTAACTCCAGTTTCAGGGGCTCTGACACTATCACAGAGACACAAATGCAAATGAAATAAAAATAAATAAATGTAAAAAAGAAGAATGTCTGTAATACAAACCTAAGTATCTCAAAATCATTAAGTACCGGAAGAAAAACTAATAAATTAATATGATTTCCCTTTAGAACACCTGCCTATGAATTCAAAGAGAATCGTTTAAGTCAGGAAATGTGAGTGCTTAGGCTATTCTGTACCCTTTACTTGAGCAAGTGTTTGCATATGACTAGGTCCTGACTGCTGCGTGTGGCCGAGGTAAGGATCTAGCTGAACTGAGAAGGAAGTTGTGGGTGGTCTTGTATATCTAAAACCCTAGCAGAAAGGAAATTTAGAGAGGAGAAACAGTATTTTTAATTGTGCTCATGGAGTTGAGGATCGTGCTACATGTAAGAACCATGCTATTTCATAGTAAAATGTTCTGAAATGATGGTTAGTAAAACTATTATTGCACTTAAGGAATCAATATTATAGTTTATTTAATATTTTTCGAAGAGGGGCCATTTACTCCCAGGATCCTATTTTTTGGTTTAAAACTCACATTCTTCGATTTCAACACAAAACTCATGAATCAGCATTATTGAGAAATGCAACAGTAACCTACATTATAAACAGGTTATCTGCATGTTTCTTTTTTACACCAGAGTTCCAGGTTCAGTGTTCATGCCTCCTCTCATTTTTGAAAGAGTTAAAAAAAAAAAAAAGAGGCAAGTCGGTGATAACGTAACTATATTTCTTTCCTTATAACCCAAGAATACTGTCTTAGAAATTTATCAGCTATCTAGTGCTGAAAATCTCACACAGTGATATTCTGTTATGCTCACCCCTTCCTGTTCTCCATTTGTGTGTATTTCAGAAATCAACAAGACAGAAACCGACAACTTTCTCAACCATTGTAAGTTTAATATATTTAAGACTGCATTCTCTGATTGCAGAAAGGTAACATTCTGGAACAGGCTTTGTGCTGATACTGTGGACACAGGATGGGTGGTTTGTACATAGTTCATGGCTCTTTATTTTGGCTCTGAGATATGGTAAGGAATAACAAAACTGGGAGAACTTCAGATTGGATGTACAGGTGCCTGTGTCCATGGGAACAGAAGAGAGTTGGACAACTGTTAAAGAAGAAGCAAAAATACTCTCTTTACATGTGGTTAAATTCATAGTTTTCACATACAACATTGAGCCACATGCTGTTATTTTTCACCTAGAGACAAACTTAATATCAAACTACTCTAAATAATAATCATCCCGATTCTATTCTTGATATTGCTCATTTACAATAGTAATCATGGACTTGTGGAATATTTGATGAAATAAAGTATGATGAAATTTTAAAGACCTAGTCCTTCATGCTCTCATAGCAGACTAGTCACTGTGGCTCAAAGAATATATTTAAAAGTTACCCGGCTGGTAAGAGGACATTTATCATTCTTTTTTTTTTTTTTAATGGAAGGAGAGATGGTGAGATGGCTTGGCAGATAAAGGTACTTGCTGCTAAGCCTGACAACCTGAATTCAATCCATGGGACTCACATGGAGGAAGCAGGAGACCAATAGCTTCAGGCTGTTCTCTGGCTAACAAGCACAATAGTAGATACATGCATGCATACACACTAATTAAATAAATGTAATTAAAAATTAAAATAAAATCTTGGAATGTTGATTAGTTTATAAAGTTTGCTAATTCCAGAACCAAAATATAATCCCATTGTCTAAATGACATATATTCTTGTCATCAATAATGATTAGGGACCTAGGATGTGCTGGTTTTGTGTTAGCCAAAAGTGATGCAAAATGGGTAACAATGCCTCCCCAAAGCAGCTTACACTCTGATATTACCAGGTGCTTGATTCATGACCACATAGTTCTACAGCGGTTTTCACTCAAGGGCTTTGATATTGCACAAGATATCATGCCCCACTCTGGCCTCTCCATCATGTAAGAGAATGTTACTGACATCTAGTTTGTCTCAATCAGGAGCCCTACCGTGGATAGTCACTCGTAACTAAAACTTTTATGACTCTAAGCATCTGTGGTACCCAGGCTAAGAAAAAAACAAACAAACAAACAAAAAAAACCTCCATTGTAAGCAATGCAGAGGAATAATAAGAACAAATAAATAATAACAACAACAAAGATAGTAATAATAACAAAACCACTTTGTATACACATATGCAAATGCTATCATTAGTCTTGTCATGAAGGAAGCATGAAAGAAGTCACAATTAATTTAGTTTGGAAGCAGAGAAATTGTCACTTCAAAACAAATAATGTAGAATTTAGATCTCACAAAATGGATAGGAGTTGACTAAATAAAATGTTATTTACATATTGTTAAAAACTTGAGAAAATGTTTGATCTCTTGGATCACACAGTAAAAGAAAATTGGGATGCTTAAACAACTGCTAATTACAGTATCCTGACTACTCTACAGGTTGTGGGACACGGCGGAATAAATCGATAGCACAGACTAGCCTCAGGATCATTGGCGGGACGCAAGCAGAGGAGGGAGAATGGCCATGGCAAAGTAGCCTGCAGTTGGATGGGTCCCATCGCTGTGGAGCAACTTTGATCAACAACACGTGGCTTGTGAGTGCTGCTCACTGCTTCCGAACGTAAGTCCTGAGCTTAGAGGATGAAGCAGAAGGGAATGACATGTGTCTTCTCATTATATATTCACGAAATAAGTCATGAATTTTTAGAGAAGTAGGTTTGGCACAAATCAAAAACAACACTGTTTATCACAAAACAGTGGGAATCTCAGAATACTTAGCAGGAGATTTTACAGTCTCTGGAAATGAAAATGATGCCAGCCGTTGTTGTTGTGTAGTTACTTACTGAGAAATTTATGATAGTTTGTCAAAGAGCATAGGACCTTTAAGCCACATTTGAATTTTGAGCTTGTTATCAAAGATAAGAACTGATGGTCACTAAGTATCTTAATAAGTACCAGAGTTGGGCAGATGGTAGTTTTTATCCCTATGACGAAGTTCCAAGAAGATAAGGAAGTGTGACGCAAGTTGGAAGTAGCAAATTTTATAATTGAAGCTGGGCTGTGGAGGCACATGACTTTAATCCCAGCACTCAGAGAGGCAGAGGCAGGTTGATCTCTGTGAGTGTGAGGCCAGTTTGGTCTACAGAGTAAGTTCCAGGACAATCAAAGATACACAGAGAAATCCTGTCTCGAAAACAAACAAACAAAAAACAACAACAAAAAAACCCCCAAAACAACAACAACAACAACAAAACCCAAATTTTTGTAATTAATTAGTTATTTATTTTAGAAGGAATGTTGACTTTTCAAAATTACATCAAAATATTGACAATACCCACAGTAGTAATGCTTTTTAAAGTTATATGTAATCTCTGAGGATCTCAGAACATATATCCTTGCAGGAAGAGAATGTAGGGCATGTAGAACGCATTTCCTTTTATGTGTTGCTTGTAGCCACTTACAGCAAGGCACCTGGATCTGCACTGGGTACCATGATGCTTGGTGTGACATCTAACCTAGGAAAAACACTCTTGTGCCTTTTGCACCTGACCTGAACCCAGAGCTCAGTTTTCTGACGGGACAGCATTTTTTTCCTTTTAATATAAACTATAACTTAAAAAAATAAAATTTTATACTGATACCTGTAGATCAAAAATTCCTTACAAAGTATTACACTGATATCAAGGTAAGCTAGAATTTATTATTGTTACTGTTTTTCGGTAGGCACAAGGATCCGTCGAGTTGGACTGCTTCCTTTGGGGCAACAATACAACCTCCAAAACTGAAGACTGGCCTGAGGAGGATAATTGTCCATGAAAAATACAAATACCCATCTCATGACTATGACATTGCGCTCGCTGAGCTTTCTAGGCCAATCCCCTGCACAAATGCAGTGCACAAGGTTTGTCTCCCGGATGCAAACTATGAGTTCCAGCCTGGACAGCAGATGTTTGTGACAGGATTTGGAGCAATGCAAGATGATGGTGAGCATCTGGAGGGAAAAAAATTAAGTCATGGTGACCTAATTTGGAGTTGGAAGGCATTTACAAAAATGAGAGTTATGACAAAGGGTGTCGGTTGTTCATTGGATTCAGGAGAAAGCAGGCTTTAAATCACTTAGGAGATGCATGCATTCTTTCTGGCCTTCAGCTTCTATTTACTGCTGTTACTGTGAAGGTGCTGTAAGTTATAGAATGGAGCAAATGTGTCTTCCGGACACCGAATGAATTCCTTTTTCTTTAATGAGTGTATGTACCTGTAGGGTGTGTGTCTTTGTGGAGGGGGCTATATGTTTGTACGCTTGGTGTGTTCTCTGATGTGAGTGTGTGTATAGGTAAGAGGATGATATCAGAATGTTTTACCCATCCTTATCCACCTTATTTATTTAGTGACGTGTCTTTTTAAAAAATTCTTCTCTTGTACATTACATCCTGACGGTTTCCCCCTCGCTTCACCATCCTGCCCCTGCCTACCTTGCCTCTCCCCCAGATTCACTTCTTCTCCATTTCCTTAAAAAAAAAAAACAAGATTTCTCAGGGATAGAAACTGAATAGAAACTGAACACAATATTACAAATTACATTAGGACTAGGCACAATAGGCACAAGTCCTCATATAAAGGCTGGATGAGGTGACAGTTGGAGGAAAAGGGTTCCAAAGAGCAGCTAAGAGAGCCAGAGACAGCCCCGCTCCCACTGTTGGGAGTCCCACAAGAACACCACACCATGCAACTGTAAAATATATGCTGAAGACAGACTCCCTGATTGTCACTTCAGTCTCTGTGAGCTCCTGTGAGCCCCACTGAGTTGATTCTGTGCATTGTGTTCTCATGGTGTCCTCCACTCTTCTGGCTCCTACAATCCTTCCTCCCCCTCTTCTGCAGAGTCCCTGAGCTCCTCCTAGTGTTTGGCTGTGGGTCTCTGCATCCACTCCCATCAGCTGCTGGATGATGCCTATTTGATGAAAATTGGGGTAGGCGCCAATCCATAAGTATAGCAGACTATCATTAGGAATTATTTCATTGATTTTTCTTTGCCAGTTGTGTTTGGTTCTATTTTTGATCTCTGAGTTGTCCAGCCTCTTGTTCCTGGCCATTCAGGCAATGGTAGTGTGGGTTTCCTCTTGTGGCATGGGTCTCAAGTTGAAACAGTCATTGGTTGGTCACTTCCCCAGGTTCCATGCCACTATTACCCCTGCACATCTTGCAGGACACATTGTACTGCAAGGGTTTTGTGGATTGATGTGGGAGTGTCATATCAATCTGTTGATTTCATTGGCTGAGCAATAAAGAAACTGCTGGCCCTGATAGGTTAAAAGATAGGTGGGCGGAATAAACAGAATAGGATGCTGGGCAGAAGAGGAAGTGAGGTCAGACTCTGCGCTGCTTCCAGAGGGACCGGACAGCCGCCATGCTCTGCTCTCCCAGGCAGCTGCAACCCACGATGGACTTAGGCTAGAATCTTCCCGGTAAGCGCACCTTGGGGTGCTTACACACATCATTAGAAATGGGCTAGTCCAGGTGCGAGAATTAGCCTGTAAGGGCTAGAGTTCAGGGGCCAAGCAGTTCTTAAATGAACACAGTTTGTGTGTTGTTATTTCGGGCGTGAGCTAGCCAAGCGGCCGGGGTGTTGGGGACGCAGCCCCGCCGCTCATATTTCAACAGATGGCGCCCAACGTGGGGCTAACTGAATCCACAAAAAGCCTGAGAAAGCTTGGGAAAGAGTAAAGCATGACCGCTCATATTTCAACAGTGGATGGGTCGATGTCCTAGTCCCACTGCTGGAAGTCTTGCCTGAGTATAGAAGATGGCGAGTTCAGGCTCTGTAACTCTTATTACTCCTGCCTACCTATTGGATGTTCAGCTGCTTATTAGACCAATCAAGTGTTTTAGGCAGGAAAAGTAACAAAGCTTTATAGAATTAAACAAATGCAGCATAAAATAATGCAATACATCTTTGCATTATTAAACAGATATACCACAGCATAAACAAAAGCAACTCATCTTAAACTATTACTCCACAACAATTAGATCTTGAGGTGTATTGATTCTTGGTTTTCTGAGGAACCAACTGCTATATTGATTTCCATAGTAGCTATAGTTTGCACTACTACCAGCAATGAAGACATGTTCCACTTGCTCCACGTTCTTGCCAGCATGAGTTGTCACTTGTGTTTTTGATAGGATGTCTTACTGAACCTAGAGCTAGCTGATTCAACTATACTGGCGGCCAGTAAACTTCCAGATTCCACCTGTCCCTGCCTCCCCAGCACTGGGGTTTCCAGCATATGATACCACATTAGGATTTTGCTACTGAATTTCCTACTAGACAGTTAGCCCTGTGAGAATTTAGGGATTGTTGATATACCTAATTGTGAAGATTAGGAAATCATACAGTTCTTCTCCCCAACCAAAATCTTATGGTGCTTCTGCAACTTAAAGCTTTTTCTTTGGCGCTGAAAATTTTATTTAAACTAGGTAGAGAGAATTCCTTAAAATATTACTGTTCTTAACACAACTCCTCACCCCACTTGCATATTGCCATCTTATTTAATAATTAGACAAGAGGTTTTTTTTTTGGTTTATAAAATACTTGTATCTATGAAGATGACTGTGTTTTCTCAGGATTTTCACAGAATCGCCTTCGGCAAGTCCAGGTGGATTACATAGATACCCAAACCTGCAATCAACCTCAATCTTACAATGGTGCCATCACGCCTAGGATGCTGTGTGCTGGCTTCTTAAAAGGGGAGAAAGATGCGTGCCAGGTATGGACTTGCCTACTAGTGTGCTGGACAGTGATTGTGCACCTTCCATTTCGAAGTAACTTTGGATTCACAGGGAACTGCATAGATTTTACAGAAGAAGGTCATGTTCTCTTTCAAGCAGGTTGTGCTACATGCTATTTTATTTTGAGTGTGTATGGTGTTTGGGAATGCACATAGCACAATGTACATATGGAGGCCAGAGGACAACTAAAAGGGGCAGGTTCTTTCCTTCCATATGCATGCTTCAGGATCGCATGGAGGGAGCCAGACTTGGTGGTGAATGCTTTTATCCTCTGAGCCTTCGTGCCTCAAGTGTACTCATTACCCAGTTTCCTTCAGTGGTTACAGTCACATAACTATAGTAAAACTGTAGATAGATAAAGTTATATAAAATCTGGAGAACAGACAGTGGCACAAAAATATGTGTCTAGGTATATGACATTTTGTTGCCTAAGATAGACTTACGGAATTGTCATTGCAGTCAAGATGGAGTCTATTCCATTACTCTAAAGATCTATATTGGGTAATAAGCTCTTACCCTTTCCTGCTGTCTCTAACATCACAAAATTGCTATTTTTATCTATCTCTATAATCCTATTATTTTCAGAATGTTAAGATCACACAGTTACTTGTTTTGGAATTCCATTAGTTTTTTCTGCTACTACTCTTCACTATTTATTTATAGAAAAGCAGTCATAATTACTCCAGCTTGTTTGTGTAAATACGTTTATGTGATATATACCTTACTACAGTTTACTGCTGTTGACATTTTATTCATTTCAATGGGCATTTGTGATCAGAGCGTTGTGAGTAACAGAAACCAAACTTGGGTCCTCTGAAGAGCAATACATTCTTTTAGTAGCTGAAGCACTTCTCCAGCCTCAAATGTTAAGGGCTCTGTGGATTTCCAAAGCTCATGTCTGTGCTCCTTATCAGCAATAAACTATCCAGCACTTTCTGGTGAGTTAGGCCATACTAACAAGAAGGTGGCCTGAAGAGGGCGTGATCTGGCCAGATGCATCAGCTAAGTCCACAGAACTAGTTCTTCAGCTAAACAAACTTTCCGTTTGTGTTCGGAAACTCGAGGTCAAATCAGCTCTCCTGGCAGCAGAATGCCTTTCTGTGCGTAGCTGTGCTGCCCTGCATTTCAACACCCTGAGGTGTAGGTTTGTTTTTAACTCTTTGGGAATCCACCAGCCAGCTTTCAAGTAAATACACAGAGACTTTTTCTCATTTATGAATACCCAGCCTTAGCCTGGGCTTATTTCTAGACAGCTTTTCTAACTTAAATTATCCCGTTTCTCCTTAACTATGTTTATTCTCTATATATCTTTCTTTCCTTTTTATTCCATGGCTGGCTGTGTGGCTTTGTGGCTGGCTCTGCAATCCTCTCCTTATCCTTTCCTCAGTCCTCTTTTCCCTTTTTTTTTTTTTTTTTTAGATTTCTCCTCCTTTTTATTCTCTCTGCCTGGCAACCCTCCTATTCTTCTGCCTAGCTATTGGCCATTCAGCCAATAGCTGTTTTAGGTGTTTTAACCAATCAGGTGTTTTAGGCACACAAATGAACAGCTTTACAGAGTTAAACAAACACAACATTAAAAAAATGCAACATATCTTTTCATCATTAAGGAAATATTGCACAACATAAACAGATGTAACATATCTTAAACTAATATTCCACAACACTGAGGACTTGAAAACCACCATGTTTGTTATAGTTTATCTTGGGTCAATAACAAATTCTGCCTTTGTGATCTGAAATAAGCAATTTCTCCTTTTTCCTTAGGGTGACTCTGGAGGACCACTGGTTGCTCCAGATGCTAGAGATATCTGGTACCTTGCTGGAATAGTGAGCTGGGGAGATGAATGTGGCCAACCCAATAAGCCTGGTGTTTATACTAGAGTGACTGCTTTCCGGGACTGGATTGCTTCCAACACTGGTATCTAAAGCAGAAAGACCCAGTGGGATGAAATGGATGTTCTTAGATAGAAGTTTTGTAGGCCGTTCTTAGCGTCACACAACCGCAGAAGCAGCTTACGACCAGGAGGCCCTGAACCATCATCACACAGAACAATCTGAAGTGTCTATTTCCCCTCCAGCTTTATGGTCAGGAGGACGTGAACTGTCACACTGAAAATCTGAAGTGTGTGTTTCCTCCCCACCTCTGTCCTCACATGAGCATCTTGCTGCTGCCAGATGGACTCTGCCAACCTGCACTCATTTATTTTCTACAAGTTTTCTGTTGCCAAAATTTTGATTTCCTCTGAAAAGTACTCAGGCATATATACAACTTGAAGTGACCCTTACTTCATTTCGCCAGCTTCTCTCATATCAGAAAATTTCTACTTTTCAACTTCAAGATAAGGAAGGAAATAACGTGGAAAAAGAAAAAAATACATTTTATTGTACAGAAAAGCATTAGGGATTTTTAAAATAGAATGTGGGACATGATCACATTCATAGTGAAAGACCAGCAAGCAGTTATAGCAACAGACGGCTGAAAATTCCATGTTGGAGAAGAAGAAGACGAAACAGAGAAACTAATGTATAGTTTATTTTCTTCCTAAATACCTAGCAAGAGCAACATGAGAATGATTGTTTCCTGTGACTACAATAATCATACAAACTCTTTGTAATGTGCTTGCTATGAACAAACCAAAGAAAACAATATTCATTTGCAATTGACATGCAGAGGCTGTCTATATACAATGAGCAGTGAAATAAACAAATCAATTGCTTGACATTATAGCATAAAAATTAATGAAGGAATGAGGGATGCGTAGACTCTTATTAATAAATCTACTGAAAATTCTTTAAAGGTTTGAAGGTAAATGATAAGCTTATTCCAAAATAATAAGGCATACCTTATGTGGTAAAATAGTCATATAGTTGAGTAGAACTGAAAAGACTCAGTCTAAACTAACAAGTGTGGTGGGATTATCCCTAACCCTTTCCAATATTCAGGTTCAGATACTGGTGTGTAATAGTAGCCGTATGATTGCAGCTAAGAACTGGTCTTCCACTTTGAAGATGATGGCAGATGTGCTTCCTCTACTGTCAGTTTCAGCCTGGGCATGAAAAGTGGGCTTGTAACATCTGTCGGTGCTGAGACGCCACTCATCTAGGATAAGACCACAGGGAAGGACTCCTGGAAGCTGCCTCTACATTGTGCTGAGTTAGTACCTGCTTCAACACAAGACTGAAGAAAAGAAGCCGGATGCTGGCCTCCTTTGTGATTTCAGTTTGACGAATTATTACTGAGCCAATAGATATTCTAGATCCATATGATACAGACCATAATGAAATTAGGACTGATGCCATGGTCTATGACATGGTAAGGTTTCACCAAAACATTCAGCAACCATCTTCTCATTCTATACAGACTATAAAAAATAGAATGGATCACATAGTGCCATAGGATAGCCATTGTAAAAAACCAGTGTGATGAAGGCATAAATCACAAACAATCCCACACCAGTTTGGAATTATGATTAATAGGATGGTATTTATTTAAAGGGGGAAAAAACTTACAGATCACAGTCCCAGACAACAGCCCTCTGTGCAATTAGGAAGGGAGTTTAATCGCTGGAAGAGGAGTAGGAAACAAGAGAGAGAGGAGAGGGAAGTGGCCGCTTTTTTAAAGAGAGAGACCACGCCCCAATGGGCTGGTATCTCAGCAGCTATTGGCTGAGGGAGCGGAAGGACCTCCCACAACACCAGTGTTACCAGGAAAAATGTTGACTTCTATTAACTCCAGTAATATTCAAATTATCAACTGATAAAATTTAGGTATTTATTTATTTATTTTATTTATTTTTTGTTTTTTTGAGACAGGGTTTCTCTGTAGTTTTGAAGCCTGTCCTGGAACTAGCTCTTGTAAACCAGGCTGGCCTTGAACTCACAGAAATCCATCTGT